TCTAGGTAAAAGTTCATAAAATCTAGAAAGAAAAAAAAACAAAATGAAGTTTAAAACTTTTACAAAATTTTGGTAGTCTAACCTTGTTTTAGAACATTTTTCAAAAGTAATTTAAGCAAAAATTACAAGTAATGTATATATATAATCTTAAAATTATTATATTTTTATCGAAAAAGATTATAATCATACAGTTGTGATATTTAAGAGACAAAAATTGACCAATTAATTAAAACCTTAGAAACTAAAATCAAACAATTGAAATATTTAAAGAATAAAAAACACAATTAAGTTTATTATTATAAATAATTTATCAACTTTTGTATTATAAATCTAGATATTCATCATAAATGAAAGTACTTTTATTAGTTGTTTACAATGTAAAGTTTGTTTTTAGATTTTATACTTAAATAGAAGCATTTTTAAGAATTATTATCATTGGTTGAATTACATATTTTATCCTAATATCATATATTAGTATTAATATTTACTAGTTTCATAGATGATTAATCTCTACTAAGGAACCTGGTCAGTCATCTCTAATGAGATCTCCCCTCCTAATAATATCCCCATGAAATTGGATTTGAACTTGAGAACTTGTTTAAGAAGGCTAACATCTATTTATGTTATTTTTAAATATAATTTATATATATAAATATAGTATTTATTTTGTATATAATATATTATAAATTTTATATATTAAATATTTAGTATGTAAATTACATATGCTAAAATATTAATATTTATCAAAATCATACAAATCAATCCTATATTTTGAACAAAGGGTAGATATGATATAACATCACTATGAAAAGAGGGATCCTAACTAATTTAGTACTCCACTCCTCAAGAATCATATGCTTCACATTAATAGTTCTAATATTAACAGAAAAAGTAAAAGTAAATAACGAGGGACCAAACGAAAACTCACAGACAAAACAAGCACTACAAAAAATTAGGTAATCTTTTATGTTTTTATTTTGCGATTTTTAAAAACCGCCGTTATACTTTTGGGGTTATTTTTAACTCCACAAATAATTAAATTTTTCAGCAGTTAGAAACCGCCACAATGTTTACCAGTCAATTTAATTGAAACATTTTTATAAATTTTTTTTAAAGAAATCCAATATAATAATAAAAAACAGGGCACGTGAGTGAGTCTCTGCTTCAACTCACAGATCAAATGCGTTCCTTCAGCAGCACTGCCAACTGCCTCCTCTATGGATCATAACGCTAACTGAAGATTGCTCCAACGGAAGAAGTAAGTTCAATGTGCTCGTGCAAATCGAAATCGTTGCCGACACCTTCCATGCTCACCGGAGAACTCTCCACGCTCCTCAATGTTTTCCCTCTCCAAGAACTCCACATAAGCGACCAGATCAAGCACGAGATCGTTCCCAATCAAGCGCATCTCTCTTTGATTTTCGACAAACTAGAGATTCGCAATGCGTCCAGCTGTAGAGCGGAGATTGAGAGCCTGGAGGAAGAGATTATCAATCGGAGCGAGGAACAATCCAAAATGGACCTCATCACGTTGATCGGCATCGTTCGTTTCGCCAAGTGCATCCTCTTCGACGCGTCAACGCCGTCGCCGAGAGCCGCCGTTCTGCAGCGGAACCAGTCGTCGGAGTTAACGATTCCGACAGATTATTGGAAGGCGGCGACGCTATTGAGGATTTTGCGGCGGGGCTGGATGCCGGAGAGAGTGAGGGATTCTCAACTACCACCATGGTAATTTCTACTTCGGTGGCACAGTAACACTTTCATTTCACTGTCATGCGATTAGTGACTGTGCTTTCTGTGTTACTGTGACACTAACATATTCAATGTTGCTGGCAAGAGAGCGTCATAATTATAAAATGTTCAAAGCTGAAATTGCATTGAATCACACTTGCCTTGAGGTATGATCAAACATTTTTTGAGGATGAAAACAGAAATAGAATGATGGAGACTAAGGAACTTTTCGAGTGGGTCCTGGAGCAACCGTGTTTTGAGGTTTATTTTTTTTAGTCTTTATTAACTTTAACTTCTACTACAATTATGTGAAAAATTCTTATGTCAGCTTTTTCTTTCTCTGGTTCCTTTATAAGATACCTTCTTCTGAAAGCTTTATATTTTTCACGGTTAAGATTTCTTCTCATCTCAGAAAATTATAATGTCTTTCTCTTTTCCATACACAAAAAAAATCCTTCATGTTATTCTTAGGCAGGTTTGACATATTTGAGAAGTAGATCCTGAAATCAAGAACCATCTTAATATTGTACATTTTATCCTTGCTAAAGAGGTTATCATAATTGCAGTCTAATGTATTTTCATTGTGCAGGTTCCACTTAATGTATGTGAGTGGTTCAAAGATTACCAACCGGTTTCAACAGGGAAACAAGAGATTGAGCATGCATATGAGTAAGCAACTTCTTTATATTGTTGAGGCATATAATAGAATAAAGGACCCTGCTGAAGGCAAAATAGTTGATCCTGGCCAATAGAGGCCTTCCAAATTCATACATATTCTTGCTTTGTTCTGTATAAATGTTTCTATTTGCAAAACACGCCAGAAGAATCTTTGTTGTGTTCCCATCAAAAAACATATGTTGATGATGTTTATAACATAGTAAGCAAGTTTGATTTGAGAAATTTGTATAGGAACATTGAAAACAACTTTTTATTTTTTTCATTAATTCTTATACAGACTTTTGAAAAGAGGAAAGAAAATTGAAAATAAGGTGACATTTTTAAATAAATGTAAAATTAACTTGTAAAAACTGAATGTCTTTTCAATCCAAATGATCCCTCCAGTACTATAAAGTTGAAATTCCAATAGTACTTGATTGATTTCTCATAGCCAACACAATTAATTGACTTGTGAGGAAGCTACTCTTAGTGATTTTAGAATTCAATTTAATAAAATTGAGTCCTAATCAAAAAATGAAATATCCCAGTGAAAATTCCTTATTTCAGTTCCACCTCTAGCTCCAATCCCATCATTGAAAACGGTTTTATCATTTTTCACCGAGGCTAAAAAAGACCTATAAAATAAAACATGAGTTATTATTCCTTTCAAATGTTAATAATAGATTATATTATTAATTATGCGACATCATTTTTTGCTGATTTTTACTTAAATTTCTAATGCAATTTTTTTCTTTCTGAAAAATGTTATGAAATTGAAGAATATAATGATTTTAGAGTTGTCCTAACACTAGTGTAGTTGTTGTCTGACATATGTCCTTACATCTTAGAAGCAGGATTGTTCTAATATATCAGTGATGCACTATTGTGTTTATCTAATCTATTAGAGTTATTATGGTTTCCTTTGCTAGGTTGTTCTTCCTTAAGTATATTCAGTTGTACAGAGTAGTTTATGCTGAATATGTTCCTCATGTGAATGTTATACATTTTGTTTTTCCTGCTTATTTACATGTATATTCATATATGTATGCGTGTGTGGGTGTGGGTAAGTCTTTGATCGATTTGTATTTTTCATCAGCTTCAAGATGGATAATGTATATATGCAAACTTGCCGCAGAAGGATTCTCAAGTCAACAATGAAAACGAAGCCAGTTTAATAAATAATTCTGATATTCAACCGAAGGAGAGGTTGTCAAGTCATACTACACAAGGTTGCAAGTCTGACTCCTTTAGGTTTGTTGAGTATTGGGTTCCTGTACAAATATCTAATGTGCAGCTCGAGCAGTATTATGATATTTTGCTTTCCAATGCTTCAATTCTTCGCTCATCATCAAAGGTTGATAGTGGGGAGGCTGTTCGAGATGTTCTTATTTCAATTCGAAAGGTTAGGTTGTACTTTTTGAATATGTTGCATGCATGATATGAGATCAAAGACAATATAAAGTTGGTTTAGTTTTATAATCTAGGTGTTTTATGCTGCAATATTTGGTGCACCATCTTAATTAATTTCATTTGTTTTCATTTGTTTGTTATATATACATAATAAAATGTTGGTGGTGACTGAAAAATATGCTGAATGTTTTATTTATTACCTTTCAAATGAAAATATACTTCAATACTTCTGTAAAAATGATAACACTTGGGCTCTCTACCTTATTGTAGGGATATGGGGATGGAGGTTTGTTGCACCCTTGGCATGCTTGAGAAACAGTTTCAAAAATACATTAAAACATTCCATTTTAGCATCTTTACATACTCTTATTGTTTCCATTTTTAGTCTCTATAGTTTCAAAAATTTACCTTTTAATTCTTATAACAATAGTCAATAGACAACTAAGACTAAAAGGAAACAAAAAATGATATGCATAGAAATTATAAAGGAGCTTTTTTAACTATAAGGACTAAAATGTAAAGTTTATGAAACTATAGGTATCAAACAATAATTAAACCTTTTAAGTTTGATAACAAGTCTATCGGTGATGCTGCATTTCTTTTTTTTTTTTTTTTGACAGTTTCAATTAACATGCTTTGTGAAAGATAAAAAATGTTACTTTACAGAACTTTTTCCCCCCTTCTTTCTTTCTTAATGCTAAAAAACGTTTTGTCTTGTGTGCTTCCAATACCAAGTTTGCTTATTATTATGAAGTTGTGATATCTATTTCCCCCCAATTTTTAGGCCATGGAGCTGTCTGGAACACTGCAAAAGTGGAGTCAGGGTCAATTGTCGCTGTTTTTGGCCTTGGAACTGTTGGGCTTGCTGTAAGTTTCTGAAGATAAATTGTTTGTAGGTGTTTATATTTTTGCCTGTTTGTGGGCTGCTATTGTGATTTGTAATTTATACTTGACAGGTTGCTGAGGGTGCAAAAGCTGCTGGTGCATCCCGGATTATTGGCATAGATATTGATAGCAAGAAGTTGCATATAGGTACAACACCAATTGAGTTAACCTAACCTTGACAGTATGTCTTTAACATTGTGAAGTGATTTGTTGCCACGTTTCTCATTTTTTTAGTTGTTTAATTAATAGTTCTTCATGTATTGATTATCATCTGGGTTTTGAAAGTCTGATAAATTTTTAGTATGTTCTTTGTTGCAACTCTAATTCAGGAATATTTAGAGGATTTTGCAGCCCTTGATCTAGTTCTTGGTCTAGACACTGAAGGTTTGTTGTGACTATGAGCTTTAGCCTTTTGTGAGGGCTGATCCACTTCCTTCCACACATATCCACTCTCTGTAAGGATCTTGAAATCTTGCTGGACAGAGGGAGCATAACTAGCTAAACAGCTCTTGTTGAACATTATAGAAGTCATCTATTCGATCAAGACATGGGTCCGGCCAAAAGCTACTCGCACTCGGGGTCTTCGACTTAAGATCCTTTGGTACATGAGGCAGCAAATCCTCTTGTTCATCTTCAGATTCGGTAGCAGCATCTGCAATGGCTGCAAAATCCCACTTTTTATGACATTTTGTGCTTGTGCTATGTCACCATCAATATGCGAGACTAAAACTTGATCCTGATCAGACTGATGGTGCTGATTATTATCATTTGAGATGTCTTCCAAAGATGGCATGCCATCTAAAGAAGAATCGTTGTCACTTGCTAGTCCCCTAGAAGACTGAAGCTCACATTCTGCTGGTGCAACACTAGAAATTGCATCCTTCTAACAGCTACAAGCTTGGATCACCGCATGAGATTCTGGAACAGCTTCCGCAGCAGACACAGAATAGGTGTCATCAGCTAAGGCCGTTTTTGCAATGACAGTTGAATGAACCACTCGGTTTGCAGGATCTTTAACCGAGTCAACGATCACCAAATTGACTGGCTGATCATCAAGCAATGTAGAACTATAATCAGCATTAGCAGGCTCCTCAACTGCAACATCCGAAATAATATTTGGATCACTCCTAGCTACATTAAACACATACTTCTATCTTATATCTTCTATCTTATATGAGAATATTTTTAAAGATTTTTTTTTTCTATGAGTTAGGTATTTATTTAATTCTTTTATTTAATTAGATTTTTATTTATCATAATTATTTATGGATTAAATTTTAAAATTTTAAAATAAATAATCAATAAATAATTATAATACTGTGCTAGAAGATAAATTATTTATCATAAATATAAAATATAATTTATATATTTAAAAATATTTATTTATATTAATTTTAAAATATAATTTATATATTTAAAATATTTATTTATTATAAATTTGAATTAAAATTAAAAAATTTTATAGAGAAAAATATTAATTAAAATATTATTTTTTATTAAGTAATTTATAATCATTATTATCAATAAAAAAAATTAGAATCAGTACGCTTTTCAATATTTTATCATTCCGTCCCAATTTTTTATTATTTCCTCCTAAATAATTTGATATTCTAAGCCATTGGATTTAGGGTGTTAAATCTCTCAATTCCCTTAATTCCTCCTACTATTTGGTGACTAAATCCTTTGTCACGTCTTGCGCTCCCCCTTTCCCTTACAATGATCTCTATCTCACACTATTTAGGTGATTATAGTAATTGGTTGTTCTTCATACTATTAAAGTCTCTTCATACTTTATAAATATCAAGTATTCTTTAAATACAAAGCCTGTGACACCCTTACTACCTCAACACATATATCGTAATAATGTAATTAAATTAAGGAAATAAATTTTTCAACACTGGTAAAAGGATTCACATAAAAACCTTCATAAATGTTTTTCAATATCCAAAATGATTGAAAATAAACATTGGAAAATAGAACATAAGAGTTTACAAATTCTTTTCAAAAATAATAAATACAACTCTAAATCCATATAAAAATTTCATGTCCTAGAAATCCTTTGTCCCGATGTCATAATATCAAAGCATACCCACAATTCAACTGTTGGCATTCTAGATGTCACTCATATTCAGATCTTCCTCACCTAAAATATCCACAAATTATACGGTGAGAAAAGAAAACATCTATATGTAAAGCACACAAGGAACATCCACAATATAATCTTATCATAACTCATCAATTATTGAAGTCTTTACAAGCTTATCCATACATTGTAATTCTATCAATCATGCATCATATTCACATCACAATTTCACAACCACACCAGTTTATCACAAATCTTGCAATTAACACTATGCCAATGGTCACGCCACCTCAAGGTCGTGCCACTCTAGACATAAGCGATACGTATTAATTGTCTCACTCATCCCATACTATGCCAAGAGCACGCCATCCCTATAGCATCACTTACTCAGGGTCGTCTCATCCCTGATCATATGTGTGAGGAACCACAATCACATCACAATCACAATTATCACAAATATTACTATGTCAAGGTCACACTACCCTTCAGCCTAGGATCGTGCTCACCCCTGACAAAACACTGTGCCAAGGTCACGCTACCCTTTTAGCAGCCTAGGGTCATGCTCACCCCTGCATAACATTGTGCCAAGGTCACATTACCCTTTTACCAGCCTAGGGCCGTGCTCACCCCTGGTCATCAGTATGAGAATCCACAATCACATCTCATTCACATTCTACACATCTCATTTCATAACTCAAATTCCATATTACATACAGATAAGTCCACACAATACAATGATTCACATACTCATCAAGCAATTAACCATGAATACACATCTATAACAATAATATAACAATAATATTTATAAAATAATATAAAACCCAATTAATTCACCAAATTTAATACAATATCAAATCAAATAGTAAAACCTCCAATTTTTCTAAAACCTAACTGACGGGTACTTTTCTACAATTTCATCCTCTCTCCCATATCATCATTTTCACAAATTAAATATATATTTCTAATCCTCAATACATACAGAATCTAATGGGATTATCAATTCCTCAAACAGAAATAATTATAAAATTACCCATAATTCTAAGGGACTCTTTCTCTACCCAATTCCCTCATGTAACTATGCATACAAATTTCCCCCGTACCTCGATAAGTAGTAGCTAAAATTAAAACAGAGATATCCTCGGTCTCCTCCTTTGAGTGCCCCTCGGTCTTCAAAGAGTATAGAAGGAAAAGAATAGAATGTAGAAGAAAGAAGTCAGAACTGAAAAATGTGATTTTAGGAGTGCTAGAACGCTCTATTTATAGGCATCAGGAGTCGCTGGAACAACCCGTTTCAAATCCAGAACGGCCCGTTCTAGACTCTTACGTCATGTGTAAAATTCACATCCATTTAAATATGATTTTCTTAAAATAATAATTTAACAAAATATTATAATTAATAATATTATACAAAGTAATTTTCATAAATGATTATTATTAAAAACCTTTAAAGATTCAATCAAACCCATTTAATTAAT